CAGGATTCCACAGAGAAAAGATAAATCCAGACAGACTCATACTGACCTCATGAACTTTCCAATAACCATAACCACAGTTATAGTAGACATGAAAAGCCAAGTGTCTTCTCACAAATCTTTCTGGGGTTAGGCTCCTGAAAAACTAGGTACTACTACTATGTTCCAAACATTCTTGGAAATAACATTTCTAGTCAGAGACAATGTATTCTCAGATTCTTACCAAAGAGGGTGAGGCAGGCTATTCCTGAGATTTTCCCGGAACCAAAAGTATTGAAGAGGCACTTGTAACACCCCTCATCATCCAAGGTAGTATTCCAGAAGGTAATGGTTGAGCTCTGGAGTCCCAGCTCAGTGATGTTTATCTTATCCTTATAGGCAGTCTGGACCACAACACCATGGTTCTTGCTGAAGGTAGCCATGTTTTCTGGGCTTACGGCTTTGATTTTCTGCCACGTCACAATCAAGACTTCATGGGAAGTTTCCAGAGAGCATCGTAAGGAAGCAGGTGTGTTCAGCAGCTCTCTTTCATCTTGGGTCACCACTTTCATCATGGAATCATAAAAAACATTTTTATTTTAAATTTAATATATATACAAATACTTGTTTTTTTTTTATTAAAAATAATGTGTGTTCAAAGTCAAATATAGAAAAGATAAGAGAAAAATACAAAAAAGAAAACATTCACCTACTCTCCTGATGTTGCTAGGTAAATATAAGTTCAAACATGTTTTTTTTCATCTTTAAGAATAAAAGAGTAGAAAACAGGAAGGCAAATTCTCAGTGAGAAGAAACTGTGTGAAGGATCTCTCTGTAAGCTGGAAAGTAGGTGGAATGAGGTTAAAAGTTGAAATTGCCAGAGAAGATAGAAGCATTGCCAAATGTGTTTATGCCAAGAGGGGTAGAAGCCAGGGGCAGGAAAGGGCCAATAGACAATAGGCATAATGAATAGTTAAAGTGATAAATATGTAACGGCCCTATACATTTCTTTTTCTCTCTTCCCCCCCCTCTCTCACACACACACACACACACACACACACACACACACACACTCTACAAAGGAAGGGGCAGCAAAATGGTATCCACTTCCAGGAAGCAACAATGCATATAGCAACATAAGGCAAAGAGATATACAGGACAATGCTCCAGGAGACTGATGGTAGCAGAGAGCTTTGACAACTAAATGACAATCTACACATTCCCCCATTTTTATGGAATGCAGTGCAGAATATAAGGCATGGCAATAATTTTTTCCACCTCTAATGCTGGCTACTCATATTGACACAATAGATTATTCAACGAGAAATCTCAATATAATTACAAATACCCAAACATTTGAGAAAGCTAACACATTGAAGGAGGAATAGTAAACTTTACAAATTTAAGAATTCATACCAAATGAAGAAAGATATCATAAATCGATAAATATCTGGACAGAAATAAATGTGATATCTTAAAGTATAAAAAGAAGTCAGCATTATAAATAGTAGAAATTAGAGATGTAAATAATGAAAAATATAAAATCGTAATAGATTGACTGACTTCTCAGAATGGATATCACTGAGGAATAAATTAGTAAGCAGGAAGAACAGGTCATTGAATTCTTCCAGAATGTAGCACATAGGAATAAAGATATGGAAGGGATTCAAGAAAAATTCAAAGACCTGAAATGTTTCAGCATCAGTCCTATAAGACTTTTAAAAGAAGAGAAAAGGGAGAATGGAAGGAAAAAAAAACACTGCAAGGGACAAAAACATATTTTTCAAAATAATAATAGGAAAAATCTAAATTGATATATATTAATCGTGAACCTCAATGTACCTAAAAATATAACTCAGAAATACATAAAAAGCTACTAGAACTAGAAAGAAAAATTTATAAATCCACAATCATAACGGGAGCATTTCCACAGTTCTCTGAGAATATTTACTTGCATATATTTAAAAATAAGTATAGCAGAAAAGTCAAATATAAGAATATAGAAGATCTGAAAAACAAATATTTATACATAAATCACATATATATGCATGTATAACCTTTTATCCAAAAGAGAACATACAATTTTTTCAAAAACATATGGAATATTCCCCCAAATTAAGCTTAAAATAAGATACAAAAAAATGGTGCTACCGTATGACTTTGAACACTGTGCACAATGCAATAAGATTAGAAATTCATATGTTCTTTTAACCCTGTAATTACAGAAGAAATCACAGCAAGAATTATAAATTACCGTGAATGACACTGAGAATATATTAAAATCTGCAGAAACTGATAAAGCAGTTCTTAGAGGGAAATATTTAATCCCAATTTCATTTATTAGGAAACGAGAGAGATTGAAAAATGAATACATACACAAATCCAAACATCCTACCCCCACCAAAAAGTAAATAAGTAGATAAAAGGAGTGAATTAATAAAGATAAAAGCACAAACTAATGAAATAGTACACAAAATGTAGACTTAATGAAAAACACCAATAGATTAGTCTGTTTTTTAAGACTAATAATATAGATTAAATATTGGCTAGTGTAATTTAAAAAAATAAAAGCACAAACAAGCAATATTCTCTCAATAATCCCCCAATATCAGGCATGAAAAGTTGAACATAGCAACAAATACAGTTTGGAATCTCTGAGTGTTGCATGAGTCCAGTTTTACTCTTGGTAGATATGAAACGTTCTGGGAGCAATACCTGTTGTTGGGATTGGAGTTTGTTGAGATTTTGCAAAGAAGAGATTTGGAGAAATTTCTGCTTTTAGAATGGAGAATAGAAAAGGAATCAAAGCTACAGTTGTACTTCTTGGGTGATTTTTCTCTTTGACTATGGAAGAAATAATTTAGTGGAACGCTTACAATTTTTTACTTATATAGAATGCTTATATAGAATTCTATTCAGATTCCCCCAGTCAATTGTTAAATCCTGTGTTGCAGATGGTATAAAACCTGTTCTTCGTTCACCTGTGATGGCTGATATATCACAAAGTCATATGGAAGGTGATGAAAAGCCAGCAGTAAGAGAGGGTTGGCCTCTACTGAAACAGAGGAGGAAGGTCTGGCACAACTAGGTAATTCAGCAGATAAGTGGACAGCACAGGCATAAGTTTTATATAGTAGACCATGTGAACCTTTGTAACCTCTATATTTCATTAATTTCTAGATTTTTCTGTAAAAGAGGGGCACACCAGATTACCTTCCAAAGGGTCGTATTCATCTATACTCCCTCAAGCATTTCCATGTCTTTATAAACATAGGTAATTATTATTTTAAAATTTATTCAATTCTATAGGTAAAATATATCTGAATTAGAATTTTTTTCATGTCTAGTTTTATCTATAGAAACAGTGCCTAAATAGCAAAGTCTTCTTCCACTTTGAAAACAAAACTGTGGGAAGCAGAAAGAACCACTCTTACTCTTCCAAGAGAATTACATGTTTAAACAATTCATGCAGACAAATGAACCAGCACAGCACAAACAACAAATCTCTCCACTCCAGAAATCGTATTTCCTGGACTCCAAGCAGGGGAATTGAGTATGTTTACCTTGCGCCCTGCATAGCGTCACTGCAGCCAAGAACCAAATCAGTCTGTAGGTAGACAAATGACAGAAGAACCTCCCGAACACCTGAAGATAGAGAGCACAGTACAAAAATGGGCATTTGGATGTGGACAAAACTAAGGAAGCTTCAATCTCATCGCTAACTCAGGGAATGTTGCAGCTAAAGTATTAACCACCAGAGAACTTTGGTTTTGTGGAAGCAGAATCATAAACTATAAACAGAAGAAATAACAGGGTCTGCTCAGGATATGGGAAAAGAAAAGCAGCAATGTGGCTCCTTCATTATGGCATCCTAGCAATATGAGATCTTGCTCCTAAAGCCACATGGTAAAGAGCAAAATCTCAAAGACATTGGATCTCTGGGGAAAACAAACTACTATAAATACACATAGAAAATACAGAGACTACAAATGTTAGAGAGCACCTACTTCCAAAATAATCCATATCTGTTAAAACTAAAAAATGTAACTTAGGGATAACCACTTAGAAACAAGTGACTGCTTCTGTAGTTTGCTGAGGTAGATTTTCCTGCAAATTCTGAAAATTTTATATAAATTTTACCTTTTAAAAACCAGTAATGGGGAGTAAAGTCAAGATGATAAGCTAGGTAAAAGTGGGGTTCACCTCCTCCTACTACTGCATTATAATTACAACCAAATTATAAAACAATCAACTTGGAGAACCACCTGAAGTCCAGCATATAAACAAAAAGCCACATCAAGACTACTAGGAGGGGAAGAAATGTGAAACAAGCTGGCCCCAAACCCACATATGGCAATTGAGCACCAAGAAGGAGAGCATGGCTGCAGAAGCCCCCATGAAGGAGTAGGAGCCCTAGCCACACACAGGAGTTCCTCAGCCTGAAGTTTCCAGTCCCCGGAAGAGGAGTTCCCACAAAATCCGACTGTAAAAATCAGTGAGGATTCTGGCCATCTGGGTGAGACAGAAGAAACCTGAAATCTCAGATGTCTCCTGTAAAGGGTCTGCTCACACACTCACTCACTTGCAGACACTCACCCTGGGCTCTGGTGGAGGGTCAGCAGCTTGGGGGGCACAAGAGACATACAGGAAAAGCAGAGTTGTGTAGCATCGGGGCAAGGGCCAGAGGTACAGCCACCATTGTCCATTGTTCTTTTGTCGGGGCTCCCTCCTGTACACTCTACAGACTGGCGCCATCTTGCCTATGTTGAACCCTCCCCTCCGCATGATCAATTCTGAATCTGCATTGGCCCAGTGAGATTGGCCAGCTGTACCTCGTGTTCCCCTGAGACCCTGCCCCACTCAACCCACAAATTGCCCCTGGCAAGCCCATTCCCAGGCAGCCAGCCCCACCCTGTGCTTTCCCTAGGCTGAGAATTTGACAGCAGCCTTCAACTTGCTTGTGTGGCCTGTGTGTGGCTTGTGCATCCCAGGAGAGACTTTTAATGGTGGGCCACCAGCCCCATCCCCAAGCTACAGTATTTCTTGAACAGATTTTGGGTGTCTGAGGACTCAAGGCAGGCAGCAGCTGACCTTGTGGCGATTGAAGACTTTTATGAGAGGCTACATGTTTAGGACTGACAACAAAACCTGAATCTCCACTGGCTGAGTAAAATTGGCTTGCTTTACCCTGGTAACTCCCTGGGTCCCCAACCTACCTAACTCATGTATCATCCAAAGGCTCTTTCAGCTGTGGAGCCTGATGGGAAGCTGGTAGGCAGCCTCAGGCCTTGAGGCGTACTACTCTTTTTGCTAAGCCACTCCAAGCCCAGTACTGGGGGTGGGGTAACCAACCTCAGCTTGCAGCGTGGTCTCTTCCACTTGCCTCCAGATCCAGCATAGGAAGCAACCGTCATTATAGCACTTTGTAGCTCCTATCAGGTATCCTTGAGCAATCAAAGGCAGTGGCTGACCTTGGCCCATACAGGAACCCCCTCCCAAGGTACCACAGAACCAACATACCTGGAGGATGGCATCACAGCACACAGAGCACCAGCGGACTAGCCCCATAAACAGCATACCCAAAGAGTGGTCTCAACAGGTACACAAGCCTGCTGGGATGAATGTCCACTCCAAGGAGACAGATCCTACACAGCAGCTCCTACCTTGTGGCAAATCCTCATAGCCACTCAGACCAAGAGTCAGTCCCATCAACTGACATGGTAATAGCAATCTAGGCTTAGCTACAACAAGAGAACACACACAACCCATGCAAGAAACATGCCCAGAGCCCCCTGGCATAGGTGATCAGGGAGACTGCAATTGGGCCACACAGGACACCTAGTACTAAAGACCATGCAGCAAATCTCCCTAATACATAGAAACAAACACAAAGGTGACTAAAATGAAAAAACAAAGAAACATCCTGTAAATTAAACAACAGAAGAAAACTCCAGGAAAAAAAAAAAAAACTAAATAAAATAAAGGCAAGCAACTTATCAGATACAGAATTCAAAACACTGGTTATGAGAATGCTCAATGAACTTAGGGGGAGAATATATGATCTCAGTGAGGACTTCAGTAGAGAGATAGTAAGCATAAAAAAAGGACATAGAAACCATAAAAAAGACCCAGTCAGAAATGAAGGATATAATAACTGAAATGAAGAATACACTGGAAGGAATAAACAGTAGATTAGATGAAGCAGAGGATTGAATCAGCAAGTTGGAAGACAAGATAGCAGAAAACACTCCATCAGAATAGCAACAAGAAAAACAAATCCAAAAACAATGAAGCTAGTTTAAGAGGTCTCTCATCATTATAGGGGTACCAGAAGGAAGAGAGAGCCAGGGATTGAGAACCTATTTGAAGAAAGGGTGACAGAAAACTTCCCTAACTTGGGAAAGGAGATAGATATACAAGTCCATGAAGCACAAAAGAGTCCCAAACAATGAGAATCCAAACAGATCCACACTAAGACATATCCTAATTAAATGCCAGAGGTTAAAGACAAAGAGACAATCTTAAAAGCACCAAAAAAAAAGTAGCAAGTTACTTACAAGGGTACTTCCATAAGAATGTCAGCTGATTTTTCAACAGAAACTTTTCAGGCCAAAAAGGATCGTTAAGAAATATTCAAAGTGATGAAAAAAAGAACCTAAAACCAAGACTCATCTACCCTGAAAGGCTCTCAATTGAAATGGAATGTGAGATAAAGAGCTTTCCAGATGGAAAAAATCTAAAAATATTCATCACCAACAAGGCTGGTATTACAAAAATGTTAAGGAGACTTCTGTAAAAAGAAGAAAGGGGGAACAAATATAAGTATGAATAATAAAATGTCAATAACTTTGTACCTATTGATAACCACTTTTAATGTAAATGAATTAAATGTTCCAATCAAAAGAAACAGTGTAGTTGAATGGATAAGAAAACAATACCCATGCATATGCTGTCTGCAGGAGACCCACTTCAGATCAAATGACACAGACTAAAAAGTAAAGGGATGGAAAAAAATATTTCATGCAAATGTAAGTGAAATAAAAAAGGTGGGGTAGCAATACTTACATCAGACAAAATAGACTTTAAAACAAAGGCTATAATAAGAGACTAAGAAGGACATTACATAATGATAAAGGGATCGCTACAACAAGAGGACATAACCCTTGTAAACATTTATGCACATATATGCATATATATGCATTCATATATATAAGAGCACCTACATATATAGAGTAATTTTTGACCTACATAAAGGAAGAAATTGACAGTAATATACACATAGTAGGAGACTTTAATACCACATTGACACCAATGGACAGATCTTCCAGACAGAAAATCAACAAGGAAATAGCAGCCTTAAATGGCACACTACACCATACAGATTTAATTGATATTTTTAGAGTGTTTCATCTCAAAGTAGCAGAATATACATTTCTTCTCAAGTGCACATGGAACATTTTCCAGGGTAGACCACATAATAAGCCATAAAAAGTCTCAATAAATTTAAGAAGGCTGAAATCATATCATCTTCTTCAACCACAATGGTATGAAACTAAAAATCAACTACAAGAAAAAAAATGGAAAATACACAAACACATGGAGGCTAAATAACATGCTACTAAGCAATGAATGGGTTAACAATGAGATCAAGGAAGAAATCAAAAGATAAAATAAGAGACAAATAAAAATGGAAACACAATGACTCAAAATCTATGGGACACAGTGAAAACAGTCCTGAGAGGGAAATTCATAGCAATGTAGGCCTACATCAAGAAACAAGAAAAATCTCAAATAAACAATTTAACCCTACATTTAAAAGAACTAGAAAAAGAACAGCAAACAAAGCCCAAAGTGAGTAGAAGGAAGGAAATAATAAAGATCAGAGTGGAAATAAATGAAATAGAGTCTAGGAAAACAATACAAAAGATCAACTAAACCAAGAGCTGGTTCGTTGAAAAGCAAAAGCAAAATTAATAAACTAACTACATTCATTAAGAAAAAAAGAGAGAAGACCCAAATAAATAAAATCAGAAATGAAAGAGGAAAGTAACAATAGACTACACAGAAACACAAAGGATTATAAGAAAATCTTATGAGCAATTATATGCCAACAAATTGGACAATGTGGAAGAAATGGCTACATTCCTAGAAACATACAATCCCCAAGACTGAGTCAAGAAGAAACAGAAAATCTGAACCCACCCATTACCACGATCAAAATCAGATCAGTAATCAAATAACTTCCAAAAAGCAAAAGTCCTGGTCTAGATGGCTTCATAAGTGAATTTTACCATTTAAAGAAGAATTAACACTTATTCTTCTCAAATTTTTTCAAAAAATTCAAGAAGAAGGAAGGCTCCCAAACTATTTTTATGAAGCCACCATTATCTTGATTCCAAGACCAAAGACACTGCAAAAGAAGAAAATTATAGGCCTATATCCCTATGAACATTGATGCAAAAATCCTCAACAAAACATTAGCAAATCAAATTCAGCAATGCATTAAAATATCATACACCATGATCAAGTGGGATTTATTTCTGGGATGCAAGGTTGGTTTACCATCAACAAATCAATTAATGTAATACACCACATAAACAAATTGAAAGATAAAAATCACATGATCATAAAAATAGATGCAGAAATTGCATTTGACAAAATCCAGCATCCATGGTAAAAACTGTCAGCAAAGTGGGCATAGAAGGAACACACTTCAACATAATATAGGCCATATAAGACAACCCTATAAGTAACATCACACTCAACAGGGAAAAGCTAAAAGCATGTTCCATAAGATCAAGAACCAGACAAGGATGTCCATTTTCACCACTTCTATTCAACATAGTTTTAGAAGTCTGTGCTACAGCAATCATATAAGAAAGAGAAATAAAAGGCATCTGAATTGGAAAAGAAGTAAAACTGTCATTATTTGCAGATGCCATGATTCTATATATAGGCATCTGCAAATATATAGATTTCACCAAAAAACTGTTAGAACCTATCAATGAATTTGGTAAAGTAGCAGGATACAAAATTAATTTTCAAAAGTCAGTTGTATTTTTATACACCAACGATGAACTATCAGAAAGATAAATTAAGAAAAAATTCCTCTTACAATTGCATCAGAAACAATAAAATACCTAAGAATCAATTTAACCAGGGAGGCAAAAAACCTGTTCTTGGAAAATTGTTAAGTCATTGAAAAAAGAAAATGAAGGAGATACAAATAAATGGAAGCATGCACCATGCTCATAGGTAGGAAGAATCAACATCATTAATATGGCCATACTACCCAAAGCAATCTATAAAGTCAGTGCAATCTCTATCAAAATACCAATGGCCTTTTTCAGAGAGCTAGAGTAAATAATCCTAAATTTGATATGGAATTATAAAGACCCTGAATAGCCACAGCAATCTCGTGAAAGAAGAACAAAGTTGGAGGTATCACCTGATATAAAACTATACTACAATGTTGTAGTAATCAAAACAGCATGGTACTGGCATAAAAACAGATAAATAGATCAATAGAACAGAGAAAAGGGCCCAGAAAAAAATCCACGCCTATATGGTTATTTAATCTATGACAAAGGAGGCAAAAATAGACAGTCTCTTCAACAAATAGCCATAAAAAGTGAAATCTTATCATTTGCAATGATACGGATGAACCTAGAGGGTATTATGCTGAATGAAATAAGTCAGACAGAGAAAGATAAATATCACGTTATTTGACTTACATGCAGAATCTAAGGAACAAAAGAAATGAACAAACTAAACAAAAACAGACTCACAGCTATAGAGAACAAACTGCCAGAGGGGAGGGGGATTGGGAGGCTGGGTGAAAAAAGTGAAGAGATAAAGATAAATTAGTAGCTACAGAACAGTCGTGGGGATGTAGAGTACAGCATAGAGAATATAGTCAACAATATTGTAAGAACTATGTATAGTGCCAGGTGGGACTTGACTAATCAAGGGATTCACTTCATAAATTATATAAATGTCCAACCACTGTACTGTATACCTAAAACTAATATGAAATTTAAAAAATGTGAAAATTGAAAAAAATAAATGAATGATGACAGTATTGAATGATCTAAAAAACAAAAACCAGTAATGGCTTTATTATTATTTTTTCTTCATTGCTTTGTTTTCATGTATCATTGGCAGAAATCTTTGGTCTTTTTACAAATCATGTTGGTATTTAAGGGAATGTTATTCTTAGTATCATTTTGCTATAAAATGAGAGGGTAGAATGGAGACAGATTAATTTCTCTGTCCAGCCCCATAGACCTATTCACTTGGTCTACACATGTGTGTTCATTATAAGGGGTACGAGCAAGAATGTAACTTTTCCCTATATTTTTCTCTATTTCTAGATTTTTCTATAATACAAATATGTAAGAAATGTGCATTTCTCTCTATTTTTTTTTAACTGAACTTCATTTTTATTTCATGTTGCCTTCCAGCTAGAGTTAGAGACAGTTTCAGTCAATGCCGCATTATCTGTCAGTTCAGCGCCCTGCTACCCCAACACTATACGATTGTCCCAATCTCTGGCATTGCATCTACATTCCTGGGGGTTTACATAATGCCAAGCCGTGGGACAGGGCTACTGATCCATGGTTACAAACATCTATCTATGCTGGCATTCCAAACTAAGGCTGCTGTGTTCCCGTCAAGTTATCTTGTGCTTACAGATGTTATCTCTCATTCTCCAGATCCCATGCTCCTGGATTCTCCCTGTGCTAGGCAAAGTGAAATTCCACAAGGCTTTCTGCCTAGACTCTCATATATCTGTTTCACTGTTATCTTGCAATGATGGGTAGGCTAGCCTGTTATCACAGTCAACCCCACCCCAAGGGAGCAAGATACAAATGCTTTCTGTTCTTGGATTTTAACACCTATGTGTAAATTCTATTTACCATCCTCCTGAACTTCCCACTCCTGGGGGCGGGATGAGTATAGGGCCTCCTTTTCAGGACACTCAAAAACTTAGGCTTTTGCTATTTTAAAACTGACTTTTAGAACTAAAAAATCTTATTTGGCATTTTAATTTTCCACCATCATTTTTTTAAACCATCATGCCTCTCTCTCAAGTGGAAGTCCAAGTTTTAGCAAAGGCTATAATGAGAAATGCAAAATGGATTGGCTCTCATAGTGAAAATCTGTTTTAAGACCAGAGAAAAAGCAGACACACACCAAAACACAAGATGTGTGAAGTGGGAGCCAGCAATGTTTAAGAAACAAAGACAGTGACTGAGGCAAAAAGAAATTGAAGAAAAGCTTTGCTATTAAATATATACATATTTGCTCTGGCTGACTTGAGTTGGGCTAGCAGAAATAATAGATGTGTCGGCTAGGACAAATGCTTCTAAGATGGATGAAAAATAATAGTATTGACATCTTAAAACGACTAAATGAGGTAGTATATGTAAAGCTCTTAGAATAGTGACTGAAACAAATAACCACTAAATAAATGTTGGTATCTCATTAGGTTACTCTGAGATTCACGGATTTAAGGCACTTAATACAGTGCCTAAGAAATAATAAATGCTAATATATGTTAGATAGCTAAAAAAATTCATTAATCAAATCATACAGACAGTACAATAATACAAATGGAAAAGTCCGCTTCTATCTTTTGCCAAGAGGGCCAGGCTGATAACTGCCCTCACGGAGGCCTTAACTGATAGTTGCTCATTCGGTAGCTACACTGCCCCTATATATACCTCTTCCCCTGAAATTTTATAGGTCCAAACCCTAATCCCACCACTTGTACTCACATGGATGTGAAAAAAATTAACCTCTCTACCTGTTTCTTCATTTGTAAAATCAGGTAATAATTCCTCTTTTGAAGGATAGCTGTGAAGATTAAGAGCATCTGGTATCCAGGACACATTAGCTCAATGGTCACCATTCTCCTTTGTTAAGAAAGATATCAAAGTAACTGGCTTTGTGGCATTACCAATGAACTATGTATGAAAAAAAATTACCTTGAGGCATTACTTGTATTTGGATTTCAATTTTTTATTGTTTTATTATTGTTATTATTTTATTAATTATGCATTATTATTTTACTAAATATTTGTTATTTTATTAATTATACCAATGTAAATGAAAAATTCTCTTTTATTTTGTCATGTAAATAGATCCTGAATAAACAAAATATCTCTCTTAAATACCCTGAGTTTTAACCCCGATTTATCTGATCCTTTATGACTTCCCAAGCAAAGGCCCAGGATGGAGGATGGAGGAAGGATCCAGAGCATCAAGGAGGGAGCGATCTCCTGGGGCGAGTGAATTCTTAATTTTGTAGCCCCACTCCAGCTGTTGGTGTCAACAGGAAGCCAAAACAGCACCCGCTATCCTCTTTCTTTCTTGGGGCATTTAAAAATAGAATGTCTTTTCCCAGCCTTTCAGCCAGAGTCAGTGGGCCTGTCCGCCAGCCTGCCAAGAGGACCCCCCCATCCAGTTCCTCTCCGAGGATGACAATGATCTCAGGAGAAGCATCTTCGTAGCCCCCGCCTAGCAGCATCCTTTTTCCAGGGCAGAGGGGGACAGAACAGGGCCGCCATGAACTGCCTGGAAACCACCCTTCGGAAGGCAAAATCCGCTTCTTAAACGCTGAGAGAAGCCCTTGCAGAAAACCCAGCTCCAGACCAGACTGGGGTGAGCCACGGCATGGCGCACTCAGCCCGCCGCCGCCCCTAGCCACGCGCGCGCCCAGCCTGCGCCCTCCTTCCCAAGCCTGGCCCCGCTCACCCGCTTTTCCATCCTCGCTCCTGGCTGCGGGGTGGCCAGCTTCACCTGGAAAGCACAGGGGATCTCACGCCGGACCAGACTGCGCACCTTGAGCTCTAAGGAGTGATTCCGGCTGGACCCGGTCACCAGCAACGAGGACTGAGGCTCAGCTCCCTCTCTCTCCTCTTGCAGTCCGCAGCGCCTCACGCCTCTGCCCTCTTGAGGTCTAGTTAATACACCCATTTACGTCGGCACAAAAACCACGCAGGTGATTTCCGATTGAGCAGCGCTTTTAAATCCCAGTCTTAATCAATCATCCTCTCCTGTCATGGGAATATTTTGTATTGTTCAGAGGGGGCGATTGGAGGAACTGAGTAAGTGAAAAAACACAGGCTTTTTTTCAACTTTCATATTATAAAGACAAAAAGAGACAAGAAATGGGGAGGTGGAGGAGGTGAGGAGTCATGAATAAACTGCGTTAGCGCTTAGAGGAATAGCGATCTTCGCTGTTGAACAGGCACGTAGAAAATAAAGATTTTTTAGAAATGTTATTCAGTCTCCCCAGATGTTAGTTATGAAAATAAAAAATGGTTTGAAGCTAAATTTAACCAATAGACACTTTAAAAAACAAATGTACATTTATTTTTATCCAAAATCAAGCAATCAATTCTGTAATAAGCTCTCCTTTCCTGATGTGACTGTTTCTTTCTTTACTGCGAGAAATTTCCTTCCATTTGTATTAATGATTCTTCTTATTTTAACAAGTTACAACAGAGTTTAAGGCCCTTAAAAAAAGAAAGACAAACAGGTCGATGAAAAGTTCACCTCTTGAAGCCTTCTCTATTTTCCTACTACCACCTCTGACAAGGTTCTGGGACAGGGCTTTTATTTAAGGATCCATAGGGCTGTAAGTAGAAGTCTGTAAATAATAAAATGGCTGAATTTTTTCAGAAAATCAGAAATATGAAATGCACCTATTGAAAGGACTAATATACTCATAGGGTGTCAAACAGGATACATAAGAGAAAGCCAACTTATAGAAATATTATAGTATATTTAAGAAGATCAAATTAAGAAAATCAAAGAGAATTCTAAAAGCTTCAAAATGTAAAGACAGACACGCAAAGGAAAAAAGAATAAAAGTGACATTAAAAGTCACAAGGCAGTGCTGTAAGCAGGAAGACCGTGAGTTAATTTTTAGTGTTTGGGGGCGAGGGGGAAACAACTTTGAATTCCACTTTGTCTTTTATAAATATTGCTACATGGGTATATTTTCTTTCAAAAAAAACTTTTAATTTTTAAATTCTATGTATCATTTATAGAGGAAAATACATATATCATAACTATACAACTTGAGTTGTAGAGTAAACATACTTACCTACCCAGAAGCAGATAAAAAAACTGAATATTACTAGCTCTTCAGAGCTTCTCTTACTCCCTTTGCCTACCCTTTCTGTCACCATCCTCCGAACACTCGTCTACTTTTAACATCATAGACTAGGCTTGCCTGTTTGTGAACTTTATATAAATGACATAGAGTATATCCTCATTTGTATCTAGATTCTTTCACTCAACAGTAGATTTGAAAAATTTTTTCCATGTTATTGCATGTAGTTGTAGTTCATCTGTTCTCACTGCTGTGAGAACAGATGAACTACAAATGAGGATATACTCTATGTCATTTATATAAAGTTCACAAACAAGTTCACAATACTACCCCAAATGAGGATATACTCTATGTCATTTATATAAAGTTCACAAATAAGTTCACAATACTACCCCATTCTGTAAGTATTGTATACCACATTTATTCATCTATTCTAATATTAATGGACATTTCATTATTTTCCAGTTGGAGTTTATTTTTAATAGTGGTGCTATAAACATTCTTATATATGGCTTTTCATAAACATATCTATGCCATTCTGTCATATTATTTTTGCCAGCTATATCTTTACTATTGTTTTATTTTTAATCTTTCTTTATTCTTTTTTTTTTAATGTATAGATGATATTTTGTAGAGGCTATTTTGCTGGATCTCAATTTTTTAAATCTACTGAAAGACTGTCATAGATAATATGAGCAAAATTTTATAGAATGATAAGATGAAAAACAGATTTTGTCACGCATATAATTCTCAGAAAATGTATAACATCAAGACTATCCTTGAAGACATTTTAGAAAAAAGTATTCTAGAAAAAAGAAAAATAAATCCAGGAGGATGCTGTGTAGAAAGATACACAGAAAGGATAAATAACTTATCAAAAATTTTAATTGTCTAAAAAAAGCAAGGAAGGTCCCCAAAATTAAAAATAATTTAATAATTTAGTAAATAATTAAATAATTCAAACATACATGGAAGTGGGAAGTGGGATAGGAAATGAGATTATGAAAGGTAGGTGAGAATTATGCCAAGGTGTATTATGTCTAAAAAATTGACAATAAAGATAAATATAAGTATTGTACTTTGTAAGTTAGGAAAATATCAGAATAGCATAAATTATGACTGAAACTGCAAAAGAATATTTAACCTAATGAAAGAAAGTATAGGAGTAAAAAGAAAAATATTACTAAAATGAAATATGAACGTTAAACATAAAATGGAAAAACATCCGATTATATCGGCAATTGCAACATATACAAATAGGTTAAAAAAACAAAAAACGAAAGATAGAGGCTTGAGATACAGAAGAATAAACAAAAGAAGGAAAGAAAGTCCCTACCATCATGGAGCATGAACATTTCTTTAAAAATTCTTTGGAAAAGAAGAAATGTGCTCATATAACTTAAAATTTTGCACAAAATGACATTTAAAATTCTTGGACAAATATAAGGAGCACTAAGAGCAAATTTAGCATACCAATGTGAAGCAAAAGAAGCAGTAAATCTGATGAAATAAGAGATACGGATATAATAAAACTAATGGCAAAAAATCAAAAAAACAAAATTAAATAACATAAAAAGATTTTTTTTCTAGAAGTAATTAAACAAACCCCATTGTAATATTTACTAAAAAAATAAAAAATGAAAAGAAACAATATAAAATGAAAAGTGAGGACCAATAATAATATAACAAATAAAAGATAACAAGAGAATATTATGAACAATTATGTCAATTTGAAAAACAAAATTATGAAAGTGATAAATTTGTTATTAAAATTTTTTAAGTTAACATTTTGACATTATTAAGACATCTAACCCATGAACATGGGATGTTGTTCCATTCATTGTGTCTTTTCTTGTCTTTTATAAAATAATTTTTTATCTTTCAACTACAGTTGGCATATATTAGTTTAAGGTGTACAAGATGGTGATTAGACATTTATATATTTTACAAAGTGATCACCTCGATATATCTAGTATCCATCTGATACCTTGTTATTATAATATTATTGACTACATTCCTTCTGCTACACTTTACATCCCCATGACTATTTTGTAACTACTAATTTGTATTTCTTAATATCTTTCCCTTTTTCACCGACCTTCCCACAATCACACAACCACCCTCCCATCTGGCAACCATCAAAATGTTCTCTGTATCTATGAGTTTGTTTCTGTTTCATTTGTTTGTTTGTTTTTTTCTTTAGATTCCACATGTAAGTGAAATCATACGGCATTTGTCTTTCTCTGTCTGACTTCATTCAGCATAATACCCTCTAGGTCCATCCATGTTGTTGCACATGACAAGATTTCATTCTTTTTATGGCTGAGTAATATCCATTGTATATATGTACTACCACTTCTATATCCATTTATCTATTGACGGACACCCAGATTGCTTCCATATCTTGGCTATTGCAAATAATGCTGCAATGAACATGTATATTCACATGTCCCCTCAAAGTAGTGTTTTGGGATTGTTTTGATAAATATCCATAAATGAGATTACTGGGTTCTTCTTTGTCTCTCGTTATGGCCTTTATTTTAAAGCCTATTTCCTCTGGTAGAAGTATTGCTACTCTTGGTTTTTCTTTTTTTAAATTTTCATTTTCATGAAATATCTTTTGCCATCCTTTTACTTTCAATCTATGTATGTCTTTCAATCTGAAATGAGTCTCTTGTAGGCAGTATATACAAGAGTCTTACTTTACTATCCATTCAGCCACCATATCTTTTGATTGGAGCACTTAATCCATTTACATTTAAAGTAATTATTGATAGATATATAGTTATTGCCATTTTATTATTCATATTTTTTATCTTTTTTTTTTTCCTTCTATTTTTTAAAGAAGTCCCTCTAACGTTCCTTGTAATACTGGATTGGCGTTGATAAACTCTTTTAGCTTTTTCTTGTGTGGGAAGTCATTACCTGTCCTTCAGTTCTAAACGATAGCTTTGCTGGGTAGAGTATTCTCGGTTGTAGGTCCTTGCTTTTTATCATTTTGAATATTTTGTGCCAATCCCTTGTAGCCCGCAAAGTTTTTGTTGCAAAATCAGCTGACAGTATTAGGGAGTGCCCTTGTAGGTAACTAACTGCTTTTCTCTTGCTGCTTTTAAGATTCTCTCTTTGTGTTTAACCTTTGGCATTTTAATTAGGATGTATCTTGGTGTGGGCTTCTTTGGGTTCGTCTTGCTTGGGACTCTGTGTGCTTCCTGGGCTTGTATATCTATTTCCTTTGCCAGGTTAGGGAAGTTTTCCATCATTATTTCTTCAAATAGATTTTCAATTCTTTGCTCTCACTCTTCTCCTTCTGGTACCCTTAGGATGTCAATGTTGGTTGTCCTAGAGGCCCTTTAAACTAGCCTCATTATTTTGGATTCTCTTTTCTTGCTGCTGTTCTGCTTGGTTTTTTTTTTTTTTTTTTTTTTCTCTTCCCTCTCTTAACTTCTAAATCATTGATTTGATCCTCTGCTTCATCGAATGTACTATTGATTCTCTCTAATGTAGTCTTCGTTTCAGTTATTATAGTCTTCGTTTCTGACTGGTTCTCTTTTATAATTCCATTTCTACTTTTATGCTTCCTATCTTTTTGTTAAAGTTCTTACTGAGTTCATCTACTCTTCCCCTATGTTCATTGAGCAACCTTATAACCAATATTTAAATTCTGTATCTGGTAGATGACTTGTCTCCATTCTGTTAGGTTCTTTTTCTGGAGCTTTGTTCTGTTTTTACACTTGAGACATGTTTCTTTGTCTCATCATTTTGGCTGCCTCCCTGTGTTTGTTTCTCTGTGTTAAGAAGGGCTCCTATGTCTCCTGGTCTTAGTATAATAGCCTTATGTATTAGGTGTCCTGTGGGGTCCAGAGGTGCAGTCTTCCCTGCT